CTGTAAAAGGCGGCCCCGTCCAGGAAACACACAGCCAGGCAGACGAGCTCCGAGCCAGCTCCCATGTCAGAGGACGAAGAGAGCACATCCAGTTAGTCACAGTCAGAGAAACAGGACTACACTGGAAAACAGGCCAAGCTCCAACAGTCTTACAGCCAAACAGGATTTTGCCAATGGTTTGGTAGTGTTCGCTATTGAAAATAATTTTTCTCGTTCTTTTATTTACCTATAAAGGCGAAACCATTAAACTATTAAGATCAACAGAAAGCTTACAAGGCAGCAGCTTTGAATGATTGATATTTTTTGGTCAGTTGTAATTCAATAAGGACTGAATGAAGGCACAACAAAATGTGTACATGTGTACTCTTTAGCAAAAAAGAGGTCAACTGCAGAGGCTGATTGGGGTTCAAGGAGACAGAAGCAGAGAAACACACAGCCAGGCAGTCACAAATTGTTTAAACCCCGGTTATAAGGTCAAAAAGTAGAAGGATGTGGAACCTCCTAGTGACAAAATGCCCTGTCAAGGCTGCTCTAGTCTGCCCACAAAAATAAAAGAATGCTCCACAATGATGTTTGGATTGTTATTATTGGATTACAGCTGCTGGGCTCCTGTGGCGAGCTGAGCTCAGCACACATGACAGGAAATGCCACTGTTGGATATGTGCGATGACACAGAAGAACTTCTGTTTGGATAGCATGAGAGAAGGGTTGACTTGCTAACATGTATGGACAACAAGGCCGTGTGAAGATGGAGGTGACAGGGAGAGCGAATATGGGGCCTGACCCTGTGGGAAAATGGTTTGGTTGAGTGAACAGTTGGTGAACATATTGTCTTCCGTTGTTTTTTTTCTTATTGAAATGGAGAAAGTGTGTCTGCTATGGCTGATAGCAATAAAAAAAACAGCTTTCAGCTGATCCAGTGGAAAAAGCTGTAAAATAAAATCAGCACATAGTCCTCTGTGGCATCAAGGCTTCTGGTAAATGACGTTAGTCGACCAAATGGGAGCCAGCCTGCGAGGGCCAACAGCCGACCTTTGGCCTCAGGGTTTGGGAAAAAAAAGTGACAGCTGCCACCGACATTAGCCCACAAAACTGGAGATGGTCTGAGAGGCAACAGCTGAACAAAGATTGGAATGTAAACTTTCTAACTTTGCTCAGAGCTTCCTCTTTGTTAACAAGGGACTCATATTTTACCGTCTCTAGAGATCGACTCTTCTGAAAAGGCATCTTTCCTCCCATGTAGTGCTTAAATTCAAAGATTTCCCTGCAGTATAAACAGGTCGACAGGATCTGCATTTCAGAAGATAGCTTCATTTGGTTCTAGTTTTTTCAGCCTATTCTATGCTATGCATTATGGCTTGCCATTATCTATAATTTTTGCCAATTGGGATTAGTCATATCAGTACTGTAGTTTATTTGTACTCTTTGCATTGTTTTTAAATTAATCTAGCTATTACTATCTCAGTCATTATTTCAGTCGTAACCTGGTACAGTATTTTACGTTCAAAATCCTTCCTAAATTGTCTTTGATTTAAAGTTTAATCATTTATAGGAGAGAAAAAATGTAATGAAGTTCATTTGGACCCTCTTCTCACCCTTTCTTTGTTTTGTGAGGATACGCGTGATAAGTTGCTTTGTTTCTACATGTATTTATGTGGAGGTAGGGAAAGTGACATTAGCAGTTTGTCATGCCTCATTCACCACTGTTTCCCTTTTAGGTTAAAAGTTGCACAGGCAGAAACACTCACCAACTGCTTGCAGGTGAGAACCTGATAGTTGGAATCGCCCCTTTGGGTGAAATAGAGTTATAGCAAGAATGCTAATGTTAGCGCTCCATCAGTACCGACGTCAGTACAGAAGGAGGACAAGGATGGTGCTTTGTGGAAAGTGCGCTCTTGTGGGCTTTTCTGGTTTAAACAACGAGTTCACAAAAAAAAATACAAGCTACTTTTGTAACGGAAGCCCAAAGTCAAACAAACATATTTTAACAAAGTAAGATTTATGGATGGGTGATGACTCCTTTGTGTCTCTATTCAGTTTTATATCTCCATCTACATCCCTTTGTTTTCTTCTAATATATAATATTAATACTTTATAGAATCACGAAAACTCACCAGGCTATTCCTATAGTGTTAATATGGACTTTGATCCTCAACAATAAACTGTGACCAGTCCATCTAAGATATGGAATAGATCGTGTCTGAAAATAACTTTGGTTGTTTAAACCAAAGTTAGTTAGTCAGTTAGAATAATACGTTTTTTAAACTAAAGAATATAAAGCATAAATCCTTCTTGGATAAGTCAGTATTGCAAGAAAGTGTTGTTTTTTAAGCTTGAATTTGTGCAGATATTCAACATATTCTCATTATTAGTTCGTATGAAATCGTACGAAAAGTTATGCACAGTATTTCGTACGTTTTGGACGTTTTTCCTCGAAAAAACAGATCAGTGCGCATGCGCAGCCAGACAGACGAAAAAAGCAGATCCGCGGACGGACGTAAAACTGGGAAAAACAGTGCAATAATCACTTCTTGATGTCTCTCACTAGGTTGCTTGCTGTTTTGTATCTTAGGGTTAGGGTTAATTCTATGTTAAATTGTATGTTATTGAATGGTGCGTAAGATGCGCATGCGCAAGGATATCTTGTCTCGAGGCAAGACGTAAAAATACGATGAAATACGATGAAAAAAACGTCAAAAATGTACGAAATTACTGTGCATAACTTTTCGTACTGTTTCATACGAACTGATAATGAGAATACACTGAGATATTAAACAAACCAAATGTGACGAGCTTTATAAGGCTGATGGGCAGAGCTATATTTTTTTCTTAATGCTTGATAAAGTTAACAGCCTACTGGCTCCATGCTCATTAGTAACCAATGTACATTAAAATACATAAACTGTAACTTCTGTTTAAACAGAAAATTTTTTTTTTCTCCTTGTGTCTTAAGAAAACATCCTGTCAGCCTGGATCTATCAGCAGCTTCCATCACCTCCACATCTTGCCGATCACACTCAATCTGTCCACAGCTTTAGTTCACACTCTGTTGGTTTTGTCACAGAACAGGCAGGTTTCTCGTTCCTGACCTTCTCCCTGACCTCACGGAAAGATGGATTATTCCTCCATCCTTTAACTTTCCTTCTGTGATACATTGAGACACATTAAGTGAGTTCTTGCTTTACCCAGTTAATAGTCTGCCTGCGTTCAGCAAATGAGCAGATGAAATGAAAAGCATTTGATTATCTGGAGGCAATTTTATCACAGTGTCTGTGAGAGCCTGCAGAGCTCAATCCTTAAAAAGCAAGTCAGAGGAAAGTGGAGACTCTTTCATTCCTGCACAGCTCACAGGTTCCTCCTGCTCTACAACGACCGCAGTGCCAAGGCCTGCATGGCAACATATGAGAAGAGAGACTTAATGTCAGGACTCCGGTTTTTTGTGTTTGTGTTTCTGTGTTTGTCTCCCTTCATCCACCAGGAGGCGCCTGGTTCTGGTCCGCCTCCTCACACACCTGCTGATGGTTACCTCGTTAAACAAATTGCTCTTAAGCTGCTGACTGTCACTACCTCAACGCCAGAGTGTTTGCCAGTTTAGGGTACTCTAGCCAAGCTGAG